TTCTGAACTCTCCGAATCCTATCAGTGCGCGGGGGGAAGCGACGTTCTTTGTCTGAACTTGCAAACTGCAAAAACAGTTTGGTGAATAGCATGCTGATGTCCTCAGATTACAGGTTCTTGAAGTGACACAGGATTTTATAACTAATAATTATTTAGATCCTCAAGACTACTAAGAAATTCTGCAAACCTTATCTGTATTAGTTAAGAGCATACTAGTAGTCTTTATGATACATATACATATACAGAAGCCACACAGACATATACCAAGAGCTGATTAAAATGGACATGTAAAAGCCAAATGACCATTTCCATATACTTTACTGTTTCTATTAAACACATTTTGTAACAGTGAAGACAATGGAGCAATGCCTGCAGTGGAATACTACATTATGTTTATTCATGTATTTTTCCTGGGGGGAGCACCTAAACATTTGGCTGTACAAAAGCCACAGGAAGTCAGTCATCGGATTGAATTTAAGAACTGTTTTACCCATTGGTCACAGCAACTGAATTCTGGAGAAGGGTGAAAGGAAGATAATTTCCTTAGTATGGAAGACTACTAGCAATACCAAGGAACTGAAAGCTTTATCTTCTGTGAAGGAATTAATCCCTATCTGAGGGTCACCGAATAGCCTTGTATTTCATCCATTCATCTCAAACCCCAAAGAACTGTTTTCTGAAGAACTCTGAGTCTTAGGAAGTTTCAGTGAATACTGATAGGACCTAAGTTACTTCTACTGCATCTGAACCGGCACAGCTAAAGTACTTTGTCTCAGACAAAATATAATCTTACATAACATCTAAAATGGCATTGCTATTGCAATTTTGACTCAGACAAATGTAACTCTCAGACTCTCAGGAATACCTTCTGTCTTCAGTAAACATCAATCTGGGACCATTTAAAAAATTATGAACCTGTCCTTAAAAATTAAGTATTAAATACAGGACTCACTCTGTATTATTAAGCTCTTTGTTTCTGTAACTAAAAAACATGCTACTTATTCTTAGTGACTGACTGAGTTATAAGATCACTGCTCCAGAATGTCATGATATTTTAGAAAATAAATTTTCTTCCTTTCCCCTTCCACATTACTGATAAAATTAAACAGTGCTACAAGCAAAGGCTATTATTATTCAAACGTTTCATACACCCAGTGTATCCAACATCAATTCTTATTTTTTAGCTGATGATCAATGATGTTTCATAATTAATATTCCTTCAGTCCTGAGAGCCAACATATAATTTTTTTTCAAGTGGACTCTGTTTTTATAAGCTTGCAGGTTCTGAATCCACAAAGTGCACAACAAGAACTCTGACAGAAATACATGTCTAAAAATCCATTGGCATGATTTACACAATAAACAGAGGGAAAGATATCGTAAAGAAACTATAAGTCGAATCAATTTTTAAAATGCTAATTTAAAAAACTCAAGTAATTAAACATGTCATTGAAAAAGATGAAATAAACAGCTAGAAGAAAAACATTTCTAGCAAGTTCAAGAATTCTACAAATTGCTTCAGCAGTGGAAGCTTACCAAGCAAAGGCAAAGACTTCACCAAGTAGTGGAGATAAGGCAAGAAAGTTGAAAGAGGACAGAACTCTCTACTGATACAAATTATCTTGCATTGGTTTGTATAGCCTGGAAACTGCCACAACCACTGCCCTAAACAAAAGTTTCGCCATACTTCCAAGAGATACAGAGAACAATCCCACATTCAATCCATCTAATAAAACTTCCGTGTGTGTTTGCATAAAATGTCAATGTATTATTTGAACGAGATCATAATTACATTGAAAAGGGGAGAAAGCAGTTAAATATCCTCATACTGACATGCAGCAAAGTTTCACAAAATCACCTCCATGGTCCAGTCTTTCCTGCTATGAGAGGGAAAGAATAGTTTCCCCACGTGTTTAAAAGGCAGCACCATTATAAAACCCTGAAATATAATTCAGGCAAGTAAGAAACTCTAGTGCTTACATGCTTTGCTCAGAAAATCTCCAGTATGTAAAGGGACATAGACAAACAATGGTATCAGTAATCCTTATTCAGTAACATTGAGAGGATATTAAATTATGCCTTTGAGTTCAGGATTTACATGTCTCACAAGGTAAATATTCTACTATCAGTTAAGGACTGCACAGTAAGATACATTTAGGCATAGTAAGATACACTTAGACATCATATAAATACTCATATGTTTCACAATATATATTGAATGCAGAATCTAAAACATGGAATTAGGCAACTAAAAAATAGACATAACTTTCCTTTATACCTATCAATCATCTGGGTTTGTGACAATAAAATTAACAGGTTTACAGTCACTGGCAGTAAATATCACTCGCTGAGTCACATGAACTAAAACAGACTGTTGTCCTGGGTTTCCCAGAACTGCAAGGGAATATTTCAAATTTCAGAAATCTTGTTCTCGTAATGTTGTTTTTAAAAACATCAAATACTTTCAAATACGTTTCAATTTTTTTATTGAAGAAGTACTTGTAACACAGACACACTTTGCAAACGGAAAGTGAGGCATACTATGGTGATTTTGATCTAGACACACCTTTCCTGTATTCTTGGCCCCAAATCATTTGACAGAAAAAGAGCAATGTTATTTGACCAGTGTTTTAAAATAACATCCACTCAAGGATGGTTTTGACAAGGCTTCCACAGAATTCCTTCCCTCCCTTCAAGAGAATGTAAATTGACTTCTGTTTAAAACTATTAACATCTGGGGAAAAGAATTCCTAGAATAAAATCCTCAGTGTTTAAGACTTACATAGTAAAGCTACAAAACAGCAGTTATTAAAAACGTGAAAAAATAAAACCAGAAAGCTTTCAAAATTGCTGTTAACATACAAAAGAAAAATGTTAGCCTTTTTCTTTCAACTAAAAAACCACAGCTACTGTAGTTTATGTCCCCCTGATAATTTTGAAGTAATTCATCAAAATATATAAGACATTTACTGAAACTTCTGCATCAGAATTTCATAGCTAGGTTTGACTGTAAAGACATGGTTATACAAAGTCTAACATAAAGGCAATATATTGTTGATATTTGTGCCTTTAAGATATCAAATAGGGGAATTAATATTTTTATATAGGAAAGAAACAGTTACTTAGTTCCAGACAACTTTATATCTCTTTTAACTATAGTTACAATTATCATGTACAAACTTCCAAAGCAGAAGTTGTCAAGATTTAACATTAGCATTAATTTATGTCAGGCATCCATTCCTCCAAAGACAGCAAGAATCATAAAGGAAGTATCATCTTAATTGCCACTAATCTGCCCATTTTAAATTAAATTGATCAGCAATTTATTATCTTACCCAGCAGCAGAAAGCTGTTAGTATGCAGCTTTAAGAGACAGCACATACTAGTCCTTCTAATTTCTAATACTATCATGGTTCAAAAATAATTTAAAACTGCTGTATCATATTTCTTTTGATTCCTGTACTGCATGATATGCACATTCCATTTAAAACCTCTGTGAAGCACTCTAGAGCATAATCATAGAATCATTTAGGTTGCAAAAGACCGTTGAAATCATCAAGTCCAACCATTAACCTAACACTGCCAAGTCCACCACTAAACCATGTCCCCAGGCACCAAGTCTACACATATTTAAATACCTCCAGAGACAGTTATTCAACTGCTTCCCTGGGCAGCCTGTTCCAATGCTTGATAACCCTCTCCGTCAAGAAATTTTTCCTAATATCCAATCTCCCCTGGCACAACTTGAGGCCGCACTGCCTACATGCACTGTTTGCCTGTTTCATACTCCAACACAGGTATATGATCTTGATCTTACTTTAAAAGAACAGGATTTCCCTGCCAAATATGTTTAGAAGACATAACATGACTCCTAGATGGTTCAGAAAGCACTTTGAACTCAAACCACATTCTTAGGTCTTATCTGCAATTTGATTTTTTTAAAAGAGAACACTGAATAAAACCCCAAGCTTTTAGGTTCATCAATCTTGATGTTCATGTCAGTGAAGGAAAAGGTGCTAGAAAATGTGCAATACATGACTTGAAGAGTACAGATATCTTTAGCTGAAGTTTCAGCAAGCAGTCTAACAGTCTAATGAATAAAATTAAACATGTATTTACTTTCGTTAAAAATAGCAATTATGATTTTCTGAACATTGTATTGGTTTAGTACTGTGCACTGCAGTCATCAACACAATTAACTAGAATGGACATAGCACGTTAACACAAACTTTGTGGAAAACCTCTAAAGTCAGTGAGAGAATTTCGATTTTTTTTCAATGAAATCTGATTTAATTCTGGTAGAAAATAAAATGAAAGACTTTGAAAAAGAACAGATAATATATTTTAAGTGTTTTAGAAAATAGGCTCATTATGTCCCTTTAAGTGGTTTTATAGCTAAAAGGAGTTGATACATGTTATTGCTATTACGTCATATATTAGAATACAGTTACAGGGCTACCAGAATCAAAACTATCATTGTAAAATATTCTGTAATACTTTGTGAATGATCTGCAAAATACAACCAAATAACAGATTTTGTTTTACAGAGCATAAGTGTATGCAAATGGAAATGTCTAGACATTACTTTCCATACACTGATAAATGCACAAAATCCAAAAGATCACTCATTACACTAATCAAGCAATCAATTATTTCAAATACAAAACTACATAAACATTCTGAGTAATTGTCACAATTATGTTTTTTGTCGCACAGGCCAAGCACCTGTTATCGGTGTTTTTATTAAGAAAGGTTTAATTAAAAGGGAACATGGTTTTGGCTTGAAATGGGGATTAATAATTTACATTGGAGAGGAATAAAGTTATGCTACATATTTACAGTGCCAAGAAGAAAAAAGGAATAGAACTAAAACTTGGAAAAGTGTTCTATTTTTTCTCAAAGCTTTCCTTAAATATCTAAGTGGATCATTTACTTAAATTCATAAATGAGTTAAGCAATGTAATTGTTCCCAGCTATATAATTCTTTTCAATCAGCATACCTTAACAAGTTTCATGAGATGGTAAAGATCTTCAACCTCATCTTCCTGGCATGTGGTATATACTCTTCCAGTATTTACACTGGTACCTTTTATGAAACCACGATAGAGTGGCAAATCCAGTGCATCAGCATATAGGTCAATGGCATGGTGTCCTACTGTCTGATACATATAGCTGTCCAATTCATCAGTCTGCCCTGCCACAATTAATAAACAATTGTATTAGGTACATTATTTCAACAATTACAGATCATCACAATACTACAAGCAGTGAGAAAATCTAAATGTTAGTATTTTTCAGTTCACAAACAGATGTTTGGTGACAATACCGCTATAAACACGGAAAGAAAAAGTAGATTTCTCCACCCAACAGATGTATGGAGGGGAAGACATCTGTCACAAACATGCTGCCTATTTAGAAATTGTGGTGTCATTTCTTCTTCCTACTTCATCCAAAAATCTCATAACAGTCCGATTCTGCTCCTATTTTTATGGTAATTTTAACAGAAACACAGTTCAGAGGGACAAAGCCAGATGCATTTCAACGTATTCCGAGCAAGAAATTTGGAATTCACTGTAACACTGAGAATAAGCAATAGGTTGTCAAAATTTACATAAACTTTACTCTTTAAATTGTTATCAGGGTCATCACAAAAGAAGAGGTTATTTCTGCTTAAGTAGAATAAAGTAGACCTCTGTGATGTTTTAACATTGTTTAATAAATAAAAGGCTATTCCTTTAACCACGAGTAAAAATTAACTGACTTTTCTTACAAGTACTTTGTCACCAGTAGGCAAGAGAAAAACCCCAGCTAAAATGCAGACATCATGGATTAGAATTAAATCTCAAAATATACAATAAACCATTTATATATAAAATCTTTCATATAATCTTTCAAATGGATTGATAAAGTAATACATCATTATTTGCAAAATCTCCACTTTATTAAAAGCTAACACAGCTCACTCTTTTAATGCTAGTTTGTAATACTGGAACTTCTCTGAATTCACATAGAGACATCAAGAATTTCTGGTGTATACCTTTGTAGTACCTCTTGCAAAGAAAAAGCTCTGTAAGATCAAGACAACTCATTTGTGATGTAACAATTAGGTCATGTCACATTTGATGCCACACAACAGATATGCTTCTGTTCAAAACAGGCAAATACAAACCCATAATCACACCTAACCAACCTAATCACACCTAACCAACCTAGACCAGAAGAGTTGTTTTAAGAAAAAAATTCAGTGTTTTTCAACATACGTGAATATGACAGGGTCTTCAACTGATATTCTGTTTAGAATACACAGTTTCTTTATTAATTGAGACTCTCCAGGCAACAGTGGTAGAAGATAACATAAAAAGAATGGCATAGAATCTGCTATTGCCCGAAGCACCTCAATTAACTTTCTACAAAATTTCCAGCTACACACTTAAAGAGAGCATTTTATGATTGTAGTGACAATATTCTACATTTCTGATGTGGATAAATTAGTTTAAGGACAACATATTTCAACAAGATTAGAGATTATTATGTCCTAGCTACTCGGAAAATAAATTGTTCCTGTAGTCCCTAGCATTTACCAGTTCTGTCTGTGACTCATTTGTGATGGCAGCTCCCTTTTTTCTTCACTTTCTGTGTATCTTCCTACTATACAGTTACCAGATACCATACTTAATTGCTTAACATATGTTGAACGGTCAACCTATGTTAACATACTTTAACATTCTCCCTTACCAACTGGGAAACAACTCGCTTTTCAAGTCTCATTTCAAATTCAATTTATGCTCTATTCCAATAATGAATACTCAGCTCACCCTCCCACCTCACCACCGACTACCTGAGTTTCTCTTGTTCTCTTTCACAGAAATAAGTCTAGGTAGAGCCTGTGAGGAACTGATCAGAAAATTGGGCCAAGCTAAAAGGAGAAGAGCAGGAAAAATATGTGCATCAAGATCAGTTCCAACCCAGATCAGTTCCTCAATCCAGTTCACAAATGCTGGGTTAGAATAATGGAGGAAGACACACAGAAATAAAAATGGAATGAGCGGCAGCACAATGGCACATTTTTGGCAACTGGAATGGTTTGTGCCAGTTTAAGACATTTCCAGAAATACAGTTTAGTTTGATGATATCTCTATCACTTTTTACTATTTGTGCTAAACAGAGGGCTTGTGTGATCTTTTACTGATCTTTATCATGTGGGTTTGGATTCTTTTTCTGCTTTGAGCAAAAATAAATTTAATACATCTACATAGCCTTTTCTTTTTTCTATGTCTTAAGTATTCTATATTGGCCTTTAATATGCAAAACTATATAAAAACACATAAAGGAACTTAATTCAGGCACAATTGTGTCTCAATTTTTTCTACAGAAAAAAACCATCTCCAATAATAAATGTGGCTTCCATACCTGTGTTTTCAGCAGGTCTTAAATTGGCTAAAGCAACAATCTGATGCCCAGCAGCAACACACTGCATCATATTGTAACAGCTGTCCTTTCCACCACTGTGAGAAAAAGAAAATAATGCAATTAAAAAGGACTGAAAAAAGTTTGAGCCCCTTATAACTTTTACCTAGCTGCTTACAAATTAGCATTATCAGAGCTGGCTATAAATTTCTGAAATATGAAAATGGTTGTAAAATAATAGCAGTAAGAAAAGAATGATTTCACCATACATTTACTATATATGTATAGTACTTAAATACAGCATCAATAAAGCTCATAACAGTTCTGCATCTTATTATTAATTTGATATAAGTCACTGACACTGGAATCCCTTCAATCAAAGACTGTTTTCTACCCCAGAGACAAATTACTCTGTACTCATTACTAGATAACTTGGATTAAAAACCAAAAATCTGCTCCAGAGAGTTGCCAGCATTAGCAATCTTTTTTTATTACGTCTGCTGTGTAGATGTAGGGGGGCTTGGCTTAGGGACATGGTTTAGTGGTGAACCTGGAGGTGTTAGGTTAATGGCTGAACTTGATGATCTTAGAGGCCTTTTCCAACCTTAATGATTGCATGTTAGGAATAACATTTCTCCTTTGTAGAACACTTTGCCTAAACTTTCAAAATTTTAAAAGTACTTCCCATTCTCAAAACCTTTCATTATTACAGGCAGCAGGTTCAGTTAGGGACATGGTTTAGTGGTGAACCTGGAGGTGTTAGGTTAATGGCTGAACTTGATGATCTTAGAGGCCTTTTCCAACCTTAATGATTGCATGTTAGGAATAACATTTCTCCTTTGTAGAACACTTTGCCTAAACTTTCAAAATTTTAAAAGTACTTCCCATTCTCAAAACCTTTCATTATTACAGGCAGCAGGTTCAGTTGACACTGCATTGAACATACAAATTTTTTTACATTTAAATGCAAATAAAAATAACTACTGCTAGTAAAAAAATATTAAACCAGACAGAACTATATTCTTCTCTAAGGCCAAGAGATGATACTCCAACACAGAAAATACAGTTAATTTTATATCCATTCAAGATCAACTGGAATCTTTTTGACTATCAGTGAGGAAAGGATCCTGCTCTCCTGATGTAACTGAAAAAGTATTTCATATGGATTTTAATCAGTAGCAAATGAAATATTATAATCTAACAAGCAAACTAAGAGTGCTCTAGAATTCACACTGCTTAAAAAAGCCACATGGAGACTCACAGCCTTCAGACTAGAACTGCAGGTGGAGATTCTGTGCAGCTTCTTTAAATGCCAAGGCACAAAACCAGGGCAGGAACTGGAAGAGAGATCTACACAAGCTCTGTAAAACTGCTCTTGCCTTAGAATCACTGAGACATGCACAGGAGAACAGACAGTACAAGCAGTCCTTGCTATAGTAGACTCTTGGTTTCCATGTGACCACACCATTACTATTTCTGCCTGAAAGGATGTTGCAGCAAGGTAGGGGTTGGCCTCTTCTGCCAGGCACCTAGCAACAGGACAAGAGCAAATGGCCTCGAGCTGCACCAGGGGAGGTTCAGGTTGGACATCAGGAAGAATTTCTTCATGGAAAAGGATGTCAGGCATCGGAATGGACTGCCCAGGGAGGTGGTGGAGTCACCATCCCTGGGGGTGTTCAAGAAATGACTAGACGTGGCACTCTGTGCTATGGTCTAGTTGATAAGGTGATGATCAGTCAGTCAAAGGTTGGACTTGGTAATCTTGGAGGTCTTTTCCAACATAAATGATTCTGTAACAAACTTCTTCAGCATTTCCAACATAAAGTTCCCGCTTTTATCTAGCCCTCTATGCAAGAGCTTCAAAGTGCCTTACAGGAATGTAACCATGTAACTATTCCCCTCAATTTCTGCTTTTATCCATGCTAAAATTCTCCATGCTCACCTTAATTTACTGTGTAACTCAAACCTAAAGTAGAAATAGCACAAATAACATGGCACCCTTTCATATTTCATGGAGTTTTGTAAAGCAGTTGCTTCTGTTTCAGTGCTCTAAAAATAAATACGAGAAATAGATTCCTAATTTGAGGCTTCATCTCTACAAGGCATTCTCACGAACACCTACAACTTTCTTCTAACCTATATATGGACAAAAAAAAATTTTAAATCATATATTCATTAATTCTGGATGATGTGCTTGAAAATGTAGATAGTATTCACTTCATAATGTGAAATTTCAGGCTTAATAGAATCCTAATGAGACAAAAGCTCTTTTCTTTCTGAATGACTTCATGTTAAAAAATAAAAGTCTCTCACTAGTTCTGATTCCAACTACAAACACCAGGTCAGAAAAAGAATTGCATTACAGTAGATACGACCTATACCGTTTAGAGCATTTCAATATCTATAAAAAATGAAAATTTAAATGTCAATGGAATAAATCTATTAACCTTTTCAATTAATATATATATATTTAAAAACGCACGTTAAGATGAGATGACATTCATATTTCCCACATGAGACCACCAATTACTTGAGGGAAATTAGTGCTCAACTGGGTCACATGCTAGTATACTGTTATTTCCTCTATTAGTTAGCTGAGCCCTAAAAACTAACTGTACCAAGAAACAAAATTAAATGGTGCCTACCTACAAGGCCTTCCTAACTAGCTGTAAACACATTATGACCGATGAAGCCAGACAACCCATGCTATGGGAGGAAGATGGACTCTGCACAGTCCCAGCCTGAGGTTGTATAACAGTTTGTAATTTAGGAAAAAAAAAAAAAAGGCAGGTATTGAGGTAGCCTGTCCTGGGGACTCCTCTCAATTCCTGTCACAGAAAAAATCACAAGGCCTCTTTGTAGAAAACTACGAAGTGGGGCCACTGTCAGGGTTACTTTTGACAATGCTGCAAATATGTTAACAGCAGGCTTATAAACAAACAAAATACCAGGAAAAAACCCCACACGGTAATCATAAAGATACAAGCCTATAAAAGACTTCTGAGCAAAATACCTTTCTATAGACAAGCATAACCATTTACGTTAAGAAAATTCTAGAAGAATTAAGGAGTTGAAAAACATCATATTTCAAGTTGAAGACTGACTTTAAAATGTTTATAATTTACTACAAAACACAATACAGGGTTTACCCCATACATTCCACCTTGAAGCAAGACTATCAACTTTAAGTATGGCCAACATTTTAGAAAGAAAAGAAACAGGTTAAAATAGTTTTATATATAATCCTGACCTTTTCAAAAGTAAGAAGCACTTTTCAAATACTTTTTCCCCCTCTGATCTTTGAGGCTAGCTCTGTTACAAAGATTTCAGAGACTTTGAAGTCTCTTTAAAACTTTTCCTAAAACTATTATTGAAACTAAATCCGTCCTTGTAAAAAGCCCATTAAAATAGCAACTGTGTTAGAGACCCACTTTTAGGATTTTACTCCATGCTGCATTTTAACACATTCCTCTGCTTCGAGAATGTCTAAGTAAATAAACATGGAAGACAAAATCTTATCTATAGAACAAGAAAAAAGCACCGAAGCTGATTTTTCCTACTCTGTAATTAAGCAAATCTTGAAAAACCTAGATAACATTTCTTGTATTTTCTCCTCTTTGGATGATGTTTGGAATTATTTGCAATTATTTGTTGTGGCCAAACCTAAATTTCAACAAGGTTTATTAGACATTGCCTTAAAGAATTTAATGCATTAATGTTAAGGCTTGAGCTCCTGCACCCAAAAATGAAACACACTGCTCGTATCTGCACAATCCTTTTCCATTTGTAGGTTCCTTAGCTTGTTAATTAACTATTATTTCTTCAAGAAAAGAACATTCCTGCCCTTGTTGGAAAATCTTTATGTTTCTAAAAATGAATTTAAAAAATTTACAGTACAAAAACTGCAGAAACTGACAAAAAGGAGACGGGGAGAGGAGGGGGCAAACATAGCAGCCTCTGACAGATACGGCTGTGCCCAGGGCTGTGTCGAACTCCAACTATTTGAACAACAGAGCTTCATCTTTTTAAAAATGAACAAAAGCTAAATCTCTCTCAAAAGACATATTAGAAAAATCTATCAATAAGTGTTCGAGACTTATCCTAAGACAGGTTAAGGTACTCGGAAAGCAGAAGCGCCGGATGCTCAGCCGCGAAGGCGCAGAATCCCCTCGGAGCGCAGGGCGAGCGGCCGAGGCTCTGCGCCCCCTCTCCCGGCGCTGCCGGCGGGACAACCCGGGAGACCGGGACAGCGGAAAGCAGGGGACCAGGGGAAGTAACTGTGGGTGTCGTTTTGGGGGGTTTTGTTCGGTTAATTGTTAATTTTTTTCCTTTTTTGTTCTTAGCAAACACTACTAGTTGTTAAGCG